CTTAATAAATCATTAGAAATCGATTCAAATGATACTATTGCATTGAATAATCGAGGATTAATTCATCAATATATGAAAGAATATGAATTATCACTCATAGATTTAAACAAATCGTTGAAAATAAACCCAAATGATCTTGCAACATTGAATAGCAGAGGAATGGCGTATAATTTATTAGCACTTACAGATTCCGATAACGCGTCAAAAATCGATAAACCTATAATATTGAATAATTGTAAATTAATTAATTTAACTTATCAAGACCTTGGCAAAAATAAAGAATCACTTAAAGATCTCAATAAATCATTAGAAATTGATCCAAATGATACGGCTGTATTGAATAATCGAGGAATAACTTATTATTTACTGGCATTTGAAGATTATTGTAACTTAATATATCGAGATCTTAGCAATTGTAAAGATTTACTTGAAAATCTTAATAAATCATCAGAAAACGATTCAAACAATGCTAAATCATTAGAAAACGATTCAAACAATGTCAATGCATTAAATAGTCGAAGTACAAATTATAATTTGTTGGCAATTGCGGATTTCGATAAGGTATTAGAAATTGATCCAAATGATGCTGGTGCATTGAATAGTCGAGGAATAACATATCAGTTATTGGCACTTAAAGATTTCAATAAGGCGTCAAAAACTGAATCAAATAACAATAAAACTACAAAACCAAACAATTATGAATTAACTTATTGGGATCTTGGCAAATACGAAGATTTACTTAAAGGTCTTAGTGAATTATTAGAAATTGATCCAGACGACGCTGATGCATTGAATAGGCGAAGCACAATTTATAATTTGTTGGCAATTGCAGATTTCAATAGGGCATTAGAAATTGATCCAAATAATAATAAAGCTACAATACTAAATAATCGCGGATTAGCTTATCGAGACCTGGGAAAATATGAAGAATCACTTGAAGATTTTAATAAATCATTAGAAATCGATCCAAATGACGCTATTACATTAAATAATCGTGGATTACTATACCAATATATGAACGAATATGAATTAGCAGTCGTAGATTTCAACAAATCATTAGAAATAAGAAAAAATGATTTTACAATATTGAATAACCGAGAAAAAACTTATAATTTGTTGGCAATTGCAGATTTCAATAAAGCATTAGAAATTGCAAATTTCAAAGCATTAAAAATCGAACCAAATAATAATAAACCAAATGAAGATACAAGATTTAAAGCCACAATATTAAATAATCGTGGATTAACTTATCGGGATTTAGGAAGATACGAAGAATCGCTTAAAGATTTTACTGAATCGCTAAATATCCGTCCAAATTATTTCATAACACTGTGTAATCGTGGAATAACTTATCAATTAATGAAAAAATACGAAGATTCACTTGTCGATTTAAATCAAGCATTAGGAATTAAATCAGATGACATAAATGTGATAGATAGATACGAAAGCTCTATGAGCTTTGGTACTTGTAAAAATGAAAATTGTGACAATAAATATAATAAAGGATTTTCCTTTTGCCATGTATGTGATATAAATCAGGGGTGGACTAGTGGAAATAATGAAATAGATGAATTTATAAAAGAAGCACAAGAACAATCAAAATATTACAATAAAATAATTGAATGGATACCTTTCGAAAAATTAAAAGATATTCAAAATTTTGATAAAGGTGGATTCGGGAAAATTTATTCTGCAATTTGGATCGATGGCAAGCGAAAATATATAACTGAAAACAGAGAGATAAAGTTATCACGAGAGCAGAACTGCAAAGTTGCTCTCAAAAGTTTAAATGATTCGTCAAACTTTTTGAAAGAGGTGAGAAAATTTTAGTTAATTTCTCTTAATAAAGGATTAAGAAAATATATTAATATTTTCATTTAAAGTTTAAGGCTTATTATGAATGTCAGAGTAAAAGTCATGATGTGGAAAAATATGGAACTGAAACATATGGAATTACATACGCACCAGATGAAGAAGATTGCAGCAAACCGGATAAGAACAAATATGTCATGGTCCTTGAATATGCAGATCAAGGAAATCTTCGAACATATCTATCAAAAAAAGAAAATTTTACCAACCTTTCTTGGAAACAAAAAATAGAAATTCTTTGCTCTATATCAAATAATTTAAATCACATTCATAACATATCTCATCTTTGCCATAGAGATTTACATAGTGGTAATATACTTATGACCAGCGCTGCGGATCTTGAAAATCTCAGGTTTAGTATCTTTACTGTTGGTAGCAAAATAGTATTAGTTTCACGAAATATTACTGGAGAAAGACTAAGAATAGAACCAAAAATTACTGATTTTGGTCTGTCTAGTAAAGTAGATGAATTGTCTACAATTACCCATGGTAATCTTCCTTATGTTGCACCTGAAATAATTGGTAATCTTCCTTATGTGGCACCTGAAATATTTAAAGGCGAAAAATATACAAAAAAATCAGATATTTATAGTTTAGGTGCAATTATGTCAGAGATGTCAACAGGAAAACCCCCTTACAATAATGTCAATAATGATGATTTGTTGGTAGAAATTATGGTCAGAAAACAGCCGCCTGAATTTGCTTTAGGGACACCTGATTGTTATGTACAACTTGCAAAACAATGTCTGGATTATGACCCAGAAAAGCGGCCAACCATTGAAAAGATTTATGAAAAATTGAATACATGGAAAATAAGTCTCAGCAAAAATCCAGAAGAATTGGATAAAGAACAACTTGGTATAAGAAATAAATTTTTGGAAGCGTATAAGAGTGATGATTCTACATCATTTGCTTCTTCGCAGCAGTATCAACGTATTGACGCCTCAATCATTGCAGGTAATAATAATTCATTTTTAAATAAAAATTTTTTTTGAAATATAAGTTATCTTAAATTTGTAATTTTAATTATATAGCAAATTGTAATAATAATAGCAAGAGTATTGGGATTTCGCATAGCAACTCAACTGAGCAATTAAAACTTGATTTCTTGAAATAACAATTTTTTTAGGAAACACATCTGTGCGCATTAAATGTTAATAATGAATTTGGATGGTGCTTATTGGTTTTTTTTAATACGGTGAAAATATTCGATAGATTATAGTGTTAAGAATCAACTAAAAAGACGGGTGTTATATTATTAATAATTGATGAATGTTAAATTTATTTTATTGTTATAGTTATTTTTTTAACGTATTTTTTTTTTACAGAACTTGTCGAATAAATGTTGTTTTCATAAATTCTGGGATGTCTAGTGAAAAATTTACTGAATAATTGTTTGGCCAATTCGATAAGTTTTTGATCCGCAGTGATAAACTTTTGGTCTGGACTTGATTCACATATAAATCTATATATTTATATATATATATTTAAACTTAAAATTATACTTGAGACATGCCCTTGGACATGTCTAAATTGGGGTTTTTTTTTTAAAAAAAAAAAAGAATTATTTGATTGGCTAAAATTAATTATATATTTAATGCATGGCGACAGGGTATTATAGTATTAACATATTCAATATATGTGACAGCTGATTGCTGATGTGAAGATATCTAGATATCTTCCCCAGTATAACAACGCCAGGGTGTAAGATCGATTTTCCAGTCACGTGATTTTCCGAGCTAAAATTAGCCAATGAGAAGTCAAGATCAGGTGTAACGTAAAAGAAATCAAAACAAACGATCTTTTGTGCTCTAAGTAAAAATTTTCCTTGCGTGATTTTACTATTAGAACCTAATTAACCACCTTCTGTGATTTTACTATTAGAACAGCCTTTGTAACTCTAAAATGAACTTCCATCAAACCAAAACCTTAACGTAAACAAAAA